AATTAGCCGGATCTCTAATTAAATCTTGAACTGTACTCCTCCGTAAAGATCCCGTGCCCTTGTGGAAGCCTAGGATGGGTGGTAGGGATTCTGCTCCTACACGAAGGCGTAATTGTCCCACAAGCTCATAAAACCAAACTTGTGAGAAAAGGAAAATTTTAGCTAAACAATAAACATGACTAAATGAATTAATATATACAATGTAGAATGACATTAAAATGTAGTAAATGTTAACTTACCATCAAAACCGAGGCAAAACCCCCCATATAACCACCTCTAGATCGATTTCCCTCAAATCTCTTAGTGATGGTTTTCTTAGCCTTAATCATCTCGGTACACAACACATTGTATACTAATTCAGCCCAATTATACTCCTTAAGAGTGCCCAATTTCTCAGCATATCTAAATGCAAACAAGGGACAACTCATACTAGCTTGGGGGCATAATATAAAGCCAATAATGAAAGCCACGAGCATATGTGGCAAAAGAGGATCTCTACGCTCGGCCATCTGCTTGATAAGTTCACCCATCCTATCTCTTCTAGCACACACAACCTTCTTCTTACCCTCGTCAATTTTCTTCTTTCCTTTTCTAGTCACACGCTTACTATCTTCTTCAATTTCAGCCGCGGTACTATATGAAAGCACAAGCTTGTAGATTGTATCGCGATCACTTCTATGAAACCGCGTGTCTACTATAGATCCTCCCATCGGAAGACCCGTGATTCTCCCAACTTCTTCAACATCAAAGGAGGTCCATTTTCCTCCAATTTTGAAACTACTTTTTTCGACATTAAATACTCCCAACAAACAATCCACTATAACTGGTTGCACTGGAAGATCTGGAACATCTAAGTAGCCATAAAATGGAGTGTCACGAAGGGCAATTCGTTGATCTTCCGATAAATAAGTAGAAATCTGATTTTGAAGGTCCCGGAAGTACCCAATGTTCGATGGAATTCGCACTAAAGCCATGAGATAGAATTTTCTGCAACCATAAAACATAAGGCGACTTTAGTTGTCTATCATATTTACAGACAAAATTGTATCAAATGTTTACAGAATCAGATGTTTACAGACAAAATTGTATCATATTTACAAACAAAATTGTAACAGACAATCTCAATACTCAAATTACCACGCTTTAGCTTTATATCAACCTATTTACAGCCTATGATATTTTTTCCTCTTCTCGCTCAGTGAAATGTAGCAAATGTTAACATATGTACAATAACAGACATTTGTATCAAACTTTAGATGTCCCAGAATTGGGACTGAATATACGCAAAAATTTATGAACTTAAAAACGTAAGAAAACCAATACCAATCCTCAATTATAAAGTCATGAATTCAAAACAATATAAACGCAACAACTAAGCTAAAATTGTTGAGTTTAAGAGCCAATAATTATCTATGCAGTCAATATCCAAATATCAAAAATAAAAAAGTTCGACGGCAACCCAGCCAATGCTCGTGAGAAATCAATACCTGAAACAG